TTATAAAACTGACTACTTTTAACTTTTCACTTATTTTTATTGTTTTATTAAGTTGATTATTTTAGAAGACGCTGAAGTATTTCATTTTACACTGTTGTTTTGTATTCATTTCGAAAAAATAAATAACACGGAATAATAGCTAAAGTCTAATTTATACAGTTACCATACATTAATTATAGGTATAGAGAAGTAGAAATTCGATGCCGTTTCAATGCCTCACTGCATTACTCAAAAAAATGCATCAGTTGATTTACTATTACTATTACTGATGTGAAAAGAAAACAAACAAAAAGGGTGCAGTTATTACTAATTGTGAAATCTCAGAAATTGTTATAAATTTATTTTTGACCTAAAAAAGTAATGTTTTAATAAATCACCTTGATTTCATTAGTGCAGTCTAATGAGAACTTTTGTATGTGTAATGAAGTATTCTTTGATGCTGCAATTACCAAAACAAGCAAATAGTATTATTATATAAAAAATTAGCAGAATTACGCTAATGAGTTATCTTCTACAATTTCCATAAGCTCAAATCAAACGGCAGTAAAAGATGATGACAAATGCAAATTTGTACAAAGCATCTACGAGATTTCAATAAAGAATTTGCACATGTCTTGCAGAATACAGATATTCATTACTGAAATAAATAATTTGTATAAATGATTTTTGCTATGAATACATAATTGAATACATACTGGAAAATAGAAAGATCATTACACACTTTCTTGTTATCGAACTTGTTTATTTATTTACTTATTTATTTATTTAGTTAGTTAGTTACTTACTTACTTACTTATTAATTTGTTTGCTTGCTAACTTTCACTTTCGTCATGTCCACATGTCAGCCAGTGCTCTCTCGACATCCTTCCACGTCAACACATTCTCTGCCCATTTGCGCTCTTACGAGCAATTAAGACCGCCCCTTTTTGACAGCTCACCCAATGAACGATTTGTGATAGTTAGTGGTTTCTCTAGAAGTTTCTTTCTGCGTTTCGTTTGCAAGAATGACATAACGATAGGCTGTCAGCAGTCGGTCTTATAGATTGAATTGAGTGAAATTTTGCTTACAGCTAGAAATATATGAATTGGTTTGACCTCATTCGTGAGTAAATGTGATGTTAAGTTATCAGTAGAGTATTGCTTCTTTTTTTTGAAAGTGTGTTCCTTCATTTTCGAAATAAAACTTTATGAGGAAGTTAGCATTATCTCGTCTGATCACTTTGTCTATTTCGCATCTAACGAAGAATGAGTTTTTCATTCTGATTCCGCTAAATTTTGCTAGATCAGAATAATTTATCACTACGAAGTGGTTTGAAATTACAGGAAATTCAGATTAAAGAGTTGAATTTGTGCAAATTTTCAGCAGTGAAATAGTTACGGGAATATTGGCTTGTAAATGGCTCGAACAGGTGAAAAGCGTTCCATCGACAAAACTCACACAAATTTGCCAGCATCAGTGCATTTCCCAGATATCCCACTTGATTTGGCAGCACCTAAGCGATTTAAGTTTATGATTGACCATTTATTAGATGTGGGTGATATGAAGAAAAGGTCTGAAGGATCAGCATTAACCCCGGTAAAAGGTGTAAATTCTGATGAAGAGGATAATACAGATTTGGGAGATAGTGGTTGTAGCTCAGAACAACTACCAAAAGCATTTCCTCTTTCTGGAAACTCTCATATGCTTCGGTATGTTACTTGTCGTTTGGAAGGACGCGAACTGTGGAATAAATTTTACGAGCTCAGCACCGAAATGATTATTACCAAAAGCGGAAGGTAAGCTACAAACTCTGAAATGTGTATCATGAAATTGATTAGTGAGTTTTCTTTTTTTTTCATTTTGTAATTGTAAACAAAATAGTTTTCATTATTGCTTTCGATCCCAATAATTTTGAATAATTTTCATAGAAATAAATTTCACCATATTTTAGACACTAAAGATTGAAGTACTTTGAAGCCATTCTAATAACGATAAGCCAATTTAATCTAACGGTCACCAAATAATTTTTCCATCACAACATTTTAAAAAATCAAAAAAATGATCATTACTGACATTGTTCAAATATTTAGCATCTTGGAGCTTTCTACAGTAATATTTATGATCATTTTTTAAAATCATATCTTTAATTTTTTATAATTTTCCATACCAGTAATTCAGAAGTTCTCAGAATCCTGTAAATAATGTAAATATTGAACCATTAAAATCATCAATACTATTTGATACGTTAAATATGAAACTTGTTAAATCATTGCTATAATTTTAATGTTTTTTATGCTTTTCAGTAAGTATTTCTTAATCTTAATTTTTACTTTCAACTCATCATTTTCAGTTGTTAGTTAAGTAACTAGATGCCTGGTCAAAGTTCACTCCTGAGAATAGCTATTGCTAGTTTGTTGTCGTATGAGAACAGACCACAATTAGCTTCACAGCACTGTGGTCAAAAATTAAAGAATTAAAATTGCAAAGATCACAAGGGATTGCTGAGTAATAATTTTCGGGAGTAATTATCACAAACAGAAAACAATCTCATTTACTTCTCGTATATTACAACTCATTCACAAGTAATTTAAGTAAAGGCTTGACAGATACTTTAAATTGTTTTCAATTACTAAAATTACTTTCCTCGTAAGGCACTCTTTTTCCAGTCTTTTAAAATTGCAAATTAACACGTCCATGTCAAAGAACAAATACATTGAAGATATAAACTATTTTTCCGCATATTGCCCAAACGTTTTGTTAATATTTTTTAATCAATTATTGATCATTTTTTGATTACATTAATCCTTTTTTTACTTATGTGTATATTTAAAGTGTTTAACAAATCACTCTATTTGTATCTTTCATCACACAAACAAACTTATAATCATTCCAAGCATTTGTCACTAGTTTTAACTAATGAACAAAGCTAAAATTAAACTGCTATCACAAATTCGTTTAAGTGGATAATGCATAAATGTTTACAGTTTGCTTCAATTCACTCTCACTTAGTCAATTATCCAACAGTTGTAAGGCTTGAAAGAATTTCAGAAGTAATTTTTAACTTTTGGCAAGTATTTTCAACTCATACTGTGAAGTAGGCTTTATCCAAAGTTTGACACTAACTGAAAATTGTCTTCTTGCTACTTCAATCATTTAGCGTTATATATTTTTCGAAAATACTTTTGTGCTAAAAAAGCGCCGATTTAAATTTTGCTTTCCATATTAAATTTCTTCTTTAACTCCGTTTATGAATGAAAAATTTAAGCCTGATATATAAATTTAAAGTAAATTTAATATTATTGCTACTAATTAAAGGCTTTTTGTTCACATTTTTCTCTCCGCCAGTCACAATCAATATTGCCTTTTAACTTCAGAATATTATTTACTCATGAACTTGTATAGGTAAAGTTATATGAGATTATGGTTGTCTTCATTTACTTATGCTGTTTTTAATCCAAAATACTCATACATGTTAATAGATTATTTGATGAAAAAAATATTATTAGAGAAGATTAGGCATTGAAACATTGTCGTATAGTTTTTCTTTCCAAAATCTTAATTGAGATTGAAATTTTACTTTATTCTTTTTCAAAATCACTTTCAAAAAAATTAAATGCCTTAAATTCACAAGCAATTACATCTATCAATCTTTCAAAATACGAATGAATCATTTGTTCAATAACTTTGCAATCTTTTTAATGGAACTATAATTAAATTTAAATTAATGATTTTGTTGGCAATTGAGTTAAGAGGTGAAATAGTTATTGAAAATATTCATGTTTTTGGAGTTTTTTATTCTTCTTTCTTTACCTTCAATAAAAGCAATAAACAAAGTAGTTTTCATTACTGAAATACCACACAGCTGTGTACACCTACATTACAGTCACCATCGTTTAGTAGTTAACGATGTTTTGCTCTTGTTAATGATGTCGGCCCATTGATATAAATGTTTACATACTGTATATAATTTAATTTCACAAAATACCGTATACGTTGATTTAATTACTAAATGGTTTAAAACTTGAAAAAGCTAATTAATATTAGACGTTATTTAAAATAATGATTATCATACACTCGATAATTTTGATACTTCCATTTATTGCATATGAGTGAATGCTTTTACTTCATGATAAACAAATTTAAAGTGCATTTGTATAACTTGCATTTTCCGTCTGATGTGAAACCACGGAAATAGTACTAATGTTCAAATTTTTAGAAGCTTGAGACTTAAAATATGATCAATAATTTTATTTTACTAATATTTGAAAAATCCATAAAAGCAAGACATTTGAAAATTACTGAAAATTTGATTTTTGTAGAGAAATTTTTTTTCATTAGTAAATATTTTTTACTTTATAATTTCTTATTGGTCAGATCAAAAAATTTGACTAAATTAATTATTAGGTTTACTTGAGAATATAGAAACTACTACAAACTGCATACGTCTTAATTATAGACGCATGTTCCCAACAATGAAACTAAGCATCAGCGGCTGTGAACCAGATGTTTTCTACTACGTGTTTTTGGACGTAGTACCCGTAGACAATCGTCGTTATCGATATATTTATAACAAATCATCTTGGTTAACAGCCGGTAAAGCAGAACCAACACCTCGTAACCGACTTTACATGCATCCAGACTCGCCTTTCACCGGTGAACAGGTTTTAAAGTTTTATTTTGATTCAATAAAATTGCGACAATCAGTATTACTGTGCAAGTAAAAGAAGTCAACGTTCAAAGACTTTACATAATGCTTTATTAAATTTATAAACATTTACAGCTTTGTAAGCAAGTTATTTCGTTTGAAAAAGCCAAGTTAACCAACAATGAAGTGGACAAAACTGGGCATGTAAGTCTTTTGGATTATTTTCTGATTTTGATTTCTGTTATTAAGTTGTTTCATTTACTTCATTAAACAAACAAAAGCATCTTGCAATATATGTTTTAACAGCTCATATTGAATTCAATGCACAAATATCAACCACGAATACACGTTGTTAGGCGTCCACGTGAAAGACCTATTGAGCAGGTTATACTTACTTTTTTCTAAAAACTCATTTTGCTTGAAACAATTTCTGCAAAAGATTTTGCGTGTTTAACACTTTTTCAAATATTTTAGAGATATTTTCTGAATAAATGGTGTTTTTACTATTTATTTTTTTTGTTATAAAATTTTGCTGATCAAATGTCGGTAGATTTGATATCTGACAACAACAATATTTATTTCACTTATGATATATTTGCAGCTGCTAGGAAAAAGTTTTGTTTCATTACAGAATGACAAGATAGTTTGAATAATTTCATCTAATCAGACAAGAGCATAATTGCTATGTAGTATAAAAATTACATTAACTTTGCATTTTCGTTTTGTCATTTTAGGCAATAACAATTGATTTGCACAGCGAGCATTACAAAACCTTTCAATTTAATGAAACACAATTCATGGCAGTTACAGCATATCAAAATCAACTCATCACAAAATTAAAAATTGAAAAAAATCCGTTTGCAAAAGGTTTTCGTGATCCAAGTGGACGCTCACCTGAATACGATTTGTTAGTTACTTGTCACTTTAATTTTTTTTCATGCAAATTAAACATATCCGAAATTTTCTTTATATAGTTGCTTACAGCTTTGTAATATTTACATGTTAATAACATCACTTGAATAATGATGATAGTACTGCAGTTTGACAATAATGCATACATTCTGCACAAATCTAAAACATTATTATGATCAAAAAAGACCTAAATAAATCTTTAAAAGCATTACTAATATCAGTAATGGCACTTTTAATTTTATCAGGAATTTTCACAATTATTTATTATAAATTATGGAACCAATCGAATGTTATAAATAAAAGTACTCGATGACATTAAATATTCAGTTGTAGTTTTGTATTTGTTTCGTTTTATTTTGAATCATTCTGTTTAAGAGATGGCCGTAGTGATCCCACATCGGTACTACCACCTAATTTATACACTCCAGTTATGCAGCAAGCCATAATGCGACAATGTAAGAAGTATTTCCCACTTTCGTTCACTGAAATCTTTCAAATCGTATTTGATAGATATACTAATATTTATGCTAGTAACAAATTGAAAATTCTCTCATCAAATGTTTGATTTTAACGCAGCAATAATACTTATATCTATCAAATATAATATACTTTTTACTGCAAACTTATTCGAAATTCAAATGCTTTATTTCAAAATTAGATATTTTCATTGTTTTATCAAATAAGTCTCAAAGCTTTTTCTTCTATTAAACATTCAACGCAAAAATGTTACATCTGCATCAAAACAAAAGCACAAGAAAGAGTCTGCATTTATGATTAGCTTTCCTTGAATAAAAAAAAAGTGAGAAAAGAATAATGGCTGTTTCTTTTGGAAAAAATATGCTAATAAAAATGCATGAATTAATAAATAATAAATAACAAACGAATAAATAAATTCATGTTAAGTTTTGTATTACAGATTGGGCTAGTAAAATGCATGCACGTTTTGCACTTCACCCACAAATCACGTCGCAAATGTTTTTCGCAAATATTACCACTATACCTATGTCAACACCGGTCTTATCGACATCTTCCATAGCTTGTCTTCCACATTCGTCATTTGATAAGAATTTATCAATTGGCATAATTACTACTACTGTTAGCACCACTACTAACACTACTCTTAGCATTACTGCTACTGCTGCTGCTACTGCTACTGCTACGAATACGACTACTACAAATATTGTAAGTAACGGTAGCAACAAATATAACTCCAGTGCAGGTATTCATGGCAGTATTACAGGTAGTACTATCATGAAATCCATAAAAGAAGATGATAAGAAGCATTTAACAGATAAGTAAAAATCATTTTACTTCTATTATTGAGGTATTTGAAGATTATCATGATACTGTTAACTTTCTGGACTATGCCAATTTCTACATACGTTGTAACCATAATGATAAGTTGCAGCAATTATTTTGCAAATTTAAAACATTTGCAAACAAAAGCAAGCGGGTGATTTATTAATTATGATAAACAAAATTATGAACCATAGTTCCTTTTGTTTCATTTGGGAAAATCCAAAATTTTGAATAATTTGCTGTTTGCTGTCAAATTTTAATAAAGAATCATATCTTAATTTGATATATTTTTTTCGTATCCCAGTAAATATAAGCAAGTCCACATTTGATTTTATAACAAAACTATAAATCTTTGTACAATTCTGTTTTAGAGGAATGAAAGTATGCCATACATTTTATAATGATTTCATTGTTATGTTTGCAAATGTTTATTTAAATAAAAAAAATCTGCAATTTTTTCCTTTGAATTCACGCAATGAATTTTATTTATGTGGAATGAGCTGAGATTTAACAATCACTTCAGTTATTACTAAATTTCATCGTTGAGCACTTAATTTTATTGCATTTTCAATATGACATTTCTATGTTATCAAATTTGAAGTTTATAATCACAAATTACAAACAGTATACATAATAGTATACTTGAATTTTTCAATTATTATGCCAAAAACAAGGAATTGATAGTAAACACAAAGTTAGAAGGCACAAACACACGCACACGCACATGCACACACACGTACACACACATGCATACATATAACTGCTAAGAACGTCTATCAAATAGCAGTGTGTGAAAGTGTAAAATATATACAACAGTATAACTGTGTTGAGAGAAGAAGAATGCACAACAAAGTTAAAGGCTATTTTTATGAGAAAGACGTCTTAATAAGCTTTACAAACATATGTAAATGGAAGAGTAATCGAAGTAAGTAATGCAAACGTAGAAGTGAAAACAGAAATGAAATACATGCAGTCGATGAACGATCAAAGTTGAGAGAAAAAGAAAAAATATGTTGCAGTACAAATGAGATCAGAAGTGATCGGTGGTGTATTGCGGTATGATCAAAAAAGTTGCACACATTGTGATTGCAAATTCAATTAAATATAATCAATGCATGCATTGACCAATTAATTCTATTTAGACTATTGCAGTATTATTTCCTTACTTCAATTACCCATTAAATTGTCCAGAACATGACTTACCCAGCATGTTTCTCTTCGTTTATTAGCTATTCCATACTTCTTTGAGTATTTCACCTCCGTGAAGGACATTTTACGAATACGGTAATGTTTAATTTTGTTATAGTTTCACCTAATTTTTCAAATAATTGAATTAAAATATTGTTACTGCTCAAATTCATACAAGCAACACTAAGAGTTAGTAGGATCAGAAAATGATCAAAAAATTCACTAATTGCTTTCATTATTGAGTAGATTATACATACTAATGGCTTGTTTATTAAACCTTCCAAAATTAATCATTTACTTTTAAAAACGTTACAGTACTACAAATGTCATAAGAAATTACTGCACTTGTCTCTTAACATTAAAGAAATGACGCATTTTGCCGCCGAACGAATTACGAAAAAAAGAGCATCTATTTTTTGTACTGGTTATCATGTTTAAATTTGCATAAACTATCTACAAGTACAGAGAATCGTTTAACAGTAGGACGAAATCTATTCCGCTTCTAATTATTTGACTGTCAAGTTCACAATTTTTGTTGTCATACAACTTACCCTTAAAGCTTGAAAAATGGGAAACAAAGTTCTTACTTGAGGAGAAATGAAGAAAAAAGATTACAATCAAACTAGAGTTAGCATAACTGAAAAAGTTATAAATACTAATGGAATAAATTATCCGACATTTCACATTTATATTTTGCTACCTGCTGTTCTATTGCTTAAATGTATTTTTATATCTTCTCATCTACTTCCTTGCCCTTATGTTAAGCAAGAATTATTGGCTATGATGAGAGGGTTTGGAACATAAAAGTGTGAGAAGGTCATCGCCATTCCATCTGTTATTATCAACACTATTATTATTATTACTATTATTATTGTTATTATTACTGTCATTATGATTATTGTATCGGAACTAAACCATTACTGCGTTGGCATACCAATAAAAATATAGCGCAAACATATAAATATGCACATGAACCAACACTTGAAGATATAGACACCAATCAATTAACCAGATCAAATTTTCTTCATTTCTTTCTACTTCTGTGATAAAGAAAACCTACTCAACCCCCATACCCGCTGATTACTAAACCACGAATCTGTGCAGCTGTAAATCGTGCTTGTTATTTGTTTCTTCTACATACTGCTCAGCAAGTAACATTACCAAAGACAGTAGAACAATGAATCTAGTCAAGACCGAGAAAGTAGACTCATTTTCCACTTTTCGGAGTAATCACAGATCCAGTTACATCAGCTGATAGTCTTACTTGTACTAACTCACTATCAGGAAACTCACAAACTATTGATGCGCAAGAAATAAGTCCGTAACGCCAATTCTACAACAACCCCAAACGTGCCAACACTTCTAGCCATCGAGAAAAAAATGGCGGCACAACTTGTTCGAAACACAAAAATAAATACCCGTGTTGATTTAGATTTCATTCACAAAACAAGAGACAAAAGCTTAGAGATGCACAAAACTACAGGTAAAATGATGAAAAACCTTTATCAAAACACAAAACAGTGGAACAACACAATTTCAATACTGATCCCTATATTCGTAATGAGAAAAATATTACTTTAAAACAAACAAATATATATATTCCGAACACTATTATTTCTGATAATAACCTTTACCCAATTCAGCTGAACGCCATTTACAACTAGCTAGATCAAGTGATACTAAAACGTATAACGCCGGCTACAGTTTGGAAAACCGTTCTTGACTCCACCAGTTAATATGTATACAAATATTCATAAAAGACAAAAACAGTCCAAGTTAGCACAGCTAAACAAATTAACCACAAGATAGTTTCGATAAGATCAGAAACAAATATGAATGAAAGAAATTGAGGCAGGAAGTGAATTAATATGAAGATCAAAATAATGTATGCATGTATCATTATAAACTATCAAACTGTACACTACAAACCAGTCTCAAATTCAAAACGGAAACAACAGCAGCATTTGTACACAACATACTGTTCAATACTATAACGTTCAATACTATAACTTTTGACTGATCTACTAATTTTCTAACTTCCATTCCCTTAATGATCTCATTAGAAACACCTTTTCAGCAACAAAAATCAGAATCTTTTCGGAGCTTCAGAAGCTACGATGTAATATATTAGCATTGAATTTGTATATTTAAACACTTATACTGAAGAAATATACATTAAATAGTACGGAAATGGCCACAGGAATTCGAAATATCAATGAAAAATGTGCTCCGTAAGATATAAAAGGTAATGAAAACATAACATTTTTTGAACGAATTTCTTAAAAATGCAAGACCCAAAAGAACGAGCTGTTAATGAGAAATATACGCCTGCTATAAAAATACATTTTTATTATCACTAAATTCACATTTTTCAATGTTTAGGTTTTAATGTTGCACAATCAGAATCGTTGATCAAATTAAGAATAGAATGAGCAAGCTGAATTACGTCTGGATGAGCTATTTTCGAATTAGTTAAACGTAGAAATTCTTCTCTCCCTCCCTGCGATAAAAGAAGTTTTATATAATTATTTTCTTTGTCATTATTACAAACGTGCTGAATTGCCCATGCAGCCCACATCTGAGCTCCAGATAAATCGTCCTGTTTCAGCAACACAAAGAACGGTGCGAATGATCTGAAACTTAATGGTTGTAAAAAAATACATGGACAAAACCATTTCACCTTCACAACTTAATCATAGTGTGCAATTTTTGTAAATCATTGCCAAAATCTAAATTGTTAATTAATATATTTACTATAAATCAGAACTATTCTTAAAAATTTTTCGTCCATTTTAATAAATCTTTTTCAATAAAGAATTGGACAGATTTCCTTAAGAATTACCGATAGGCAACCATAGTTAATAACGATTTAGGCCATCTCTTGACTGCCATCATCTAAAATTGAAAACCTTCTCGATAAGTATTGAGTCAAATTACATAGTATTAATCTTGAAATAGTAGTAAGTTTTGCGTAAGCAATATCTGATAGCGATTGATTCATATTATGAAGCTTTCACTAAACTTTGTCGAAGCGAGGTAGTCAAGGAATAAATTTTTATGAGTAAAGACAAATTTTGCCAGGAACGACCAGTCTTTTCCATATAAAAACTTAGACTTTTAACGATTTAATTAAGTAAAGCTAAGAAACTAACCAAAGCTTGATTACAGTACATTGACGAGGGTTCGAACATCCATGGACCACAATCAAGTAAATTAGCCAATATCCCGCCGGCAAAATATGAGACATCAGTAATCCGACGATGATCAACCCCTTCATTAGAGCTGGTAGAGACAGAATCGATATTGAGCAAATCTCTAGAAAGATGACGACTTTTCAAAGCATAAGAAATCAGGGGATAAAAAATCAGTGATCAGGATAACTAATGAAAAGTGACAGATTTGAACTTTCTAACAGTCAATGTGATGGCAATGATAATTTAAAAATTGATCAAAACTTTTCTATCAGAAAAAATTGACTCACAAAATTATTTTAATGTAACGGCGATGAAGGATGTGCCGTTTTAAGCACTTCACTTCCGCAATATTGTTCTGAAAAGAATGATGACATTACCCATTAAATGAACAGTAGTATTACATGCATTACTTAATTCTTCAAACTCACTTACTAAAAGACCAAGAACTTTAGTTTGTATATTCGGAATATTTTGGTAATGGCTTAATACACTAAATGCAGTAGCAATACCGTCAAGTTGAACAAACAGTCGGCATGTCGTTGGCGACTCATCTGTAACTAATATACAAGATAGTATATTAGGGTATTCAAATCAACAAGAGTGACGCAAAAATGATATAAATTCCAGAAATATTTAAAGAATGCAAGAATATCTCGAAAATTGCGTCAAGTCAAAAATTATAGCATCATAATCTACTTTTCATGGTGGTGGTGTCCTGCTAAATTACTACCCAGCTTCTGAATATCAAAAAGTAAAATGGAAGTATAGGAGAAAAGGAATTAAAGGAAGAGGAAATGTTTAAAGAGAGAATTTCCGATGTGAATGTAAAATGAACTTCGCAAAGCGTACTCACTGACTCGAGTATATATTAACCGAGTTAAAAAATTGATCATTCACTTCATATAAATAAACCTGTCAAGTTCCAAAGCGCAGATAATGTAAATTTAATGGTAAAATTGTTAAAATTATCACGCCCAACACCAATATTCTCGAGATTTTCATTAATCATTTCAATTAAATGGGCAACATAACGCTTGTTTGTGGCTAAACGATGACTTTCTTTTGTTGCTAATTTCGGAGCCAAAATCGATACAATTGCTATTGTCATTCTTTAAAAAAGTTATTAAACTTTAAACGTCAGCAGAAATGGAAAATGGTAATGGAATGCATAAAATAAAAAACTATGAGGAAAATTTTTAGTTTTAAGTCTATTTGTGAGACTGGCACTACTTCTAATGACAAAACTAAATGAACAAAACTCGATTATTAATTAGATTTTCTAACACACAATTTGGTAAATGCAGAACAAAAATTCCAATCTTTAAAGATCAGCACCGAGAAACGGAGGGGTCTCTAGTAGTGACCATTGACTCAAGAGCCACTGCGCAAGTTCGAAGTATGTCAAAATTCTTTGATTGCAATAAATGATCACTGCATACAGTAAGCCATATATTCTTTTGTAACTAAAAAGATAAACAAATATGAAGATCAATTTTAAGCTCACTTATCAAGTTTCTATATTTCGATACTTTCCAATTCAAATTTGATTTTATGTAGACTTTTTTATTTCATGAAACCTAGTAAATACTAACTTGAACCATCTTGGGATGGGCTTCGGCAGCATCCAAACATCGATCAACACAATGTCGAGTTTCTTGAGGAGTAAGACGACTCACTCGTTTAGACCTGAAAAAATCAAGAGGCAAAATGGAGAAAAGTACCAATCCAAAATCAAACACATTTATTCATCACTTTTCTCAAAATTAACACAACTACTCTATGCAAACATTCTGGCACGTGAATTTTTGTTATTAGACTAATGGAATACCAGACATGTCATTGATTATTAAAGTATTATACTTGCACAGATGATAGAGGCAAGCACTTCCTGCCATTTGTATTGCGATATTTTCTTTGTGATTGAACATGGACAATACTACGCCCTGAAAATGGAAACCTAAACATGGCACTTCAAATTGACAATGTGAAAATCACTTTACTCGGGATTATTCTACCATACTACACGTCTCATATACTTCTATCAAACTGTTATCAATCGAATACACTTCACTTTACCCGAACAGTAAGACGTAAATCACACGGGTTGAACTCATCGTAAGAAGTTTGAAGAAGATAATAGACAGCCTGCAATGCGTGGGATGCAAACGCTTCTCTATTTGGACGGCAGTAACTTTGAAGTGAAAGTAGACATTGAGCACGTGTGCCACCATTAGCTATCTATAATTAAAAATAAACACTGTTAAATGTATTTTTATCAAGAATGTTCATAAGATCACGAAGTGCGAAGACAAATAAACTAATTTATCTTACTGAATCATTGTTTTTAATGACATTCGCTTCTAATGTGATAACAAAACTACTATAAAAAAGCATAAGTTAGTTTCGGTAGACATCATGATAATTTTGATCATACTACACGTTTCATATACTTCTACCAGACTGTTATCAATCAAATACACTCCACCAGTCTTTGAAGTTTATGAATTGAGTCTCAGATTTCATGTAGAAAAACACCAAAATACCTGTAGAGGTTTATCTCTCTCATAAGGATAGTGATATGGATAGCGACTCAAAGATGTATCCAGAATAGATATATAAGCCAATTTAGGATGCATAGATATGAATTTTGTCAAGTTCTCGATAGTAAGAGAGTGATCTCGAAAGTTTAACATGCTACCAGCAATGTCCAAAAAGTATAGATTGGGCCACCATGGACTATCAGATTTCACAACATCACGAATGATCAGTGTTCCAATATCGAGTTGTAAAGGTTCACTCATACTTAAGTGATCATGGAATCATTCGAAATTTCAAACTACCAGTTAATCATGATATACATTTTCAATATAAAGACGAAACTTCACATATCAATAAAAATTAATATGAGCTGAAGTTTTCCTCACATTTTTAAACAAACCTATTAGGTAATATATCAATTCTTTTATCCGAAACATCCAAAAATTTCAAGTTTTCAAGAGCGCATAATGTATCTGTGATATTACTAATTATTCCAGAACGCGATAACTTGAGTTCATGCATAATGAAAACTTCTAGCGTGTCCCTGAAATCTACGTTACTTTCTTATACTTCAATTTTGAAGCACAAAGAAGGAACAAAAATAGCTAAAAAGAAAAGTAAAGTAATAATGACAAACTTCAATTCTTCTACTGCGGAAATATCAGTAACTATTGTTTGTGAGATATCAAGCACCTTGAGAAAGCACATATTGGTACATACTAGTTTCAACTCAGCGTCCCCAAACGATGGCGTACCGGAAACAGTCAGTATATTTCAAATGTACAAAACCATTTGCATTGGTAGTTTGATGTGTAACTGATCCTGTTCAGATGAGGTATAGTACCCCGTTCAAAATGATTAGATTTGTTTTCAATTCAGCTGCGTATGTTGCTAAATACTGAATCCTAGCATAATTTTTCCTGAAGGGATAAATGTGCTAACGGCTGACTAATCTGATGATAAATATTGACTAGCTGACTGGTTTCTTACTTTCATGTATTTTATTATAATAAAAAAATTGCTCTGCACGATTTATTTACCCGATATGTCCAAAGACTCCAAAAATGATAATGGATATGATGAGAATGAACATGAAGAGTGAGACAAATCACGGAAGTAGTATACAACTGCAGGATCACTTGATATGTCATGGACAGTAAGATGCTTCACATTATGTAATTTTAGTATGTCAAATGGCAATTCCGACAATGTGCAGCAAGATAAATCAACCTACAATCCACTTCTTATCAAATTCATCTATTAAATATTTTCTTCCTTGCAATTTGTAAGTAAAATGTATTATAAAATCATATAAAAGTCTAGGTGGTCCCATATAATGTAGCAACTTAACAAATAAACTGATCGGTTTCAGTAAATGAACGACACAAAATTTAACACTCCTTATATTAAGCAACAATGACCTGATCTTTTTAGTAAAAGTTTCATACACAAACTGGGCATTCAATCCAATTTTATATACATTAAGCGAAAAAAAATGCTACTTTTGTCTCAACTAAATACATACATTTGCAAAAAATGATTACTTCTGTAAATTTGATCAGATTATGATTCTTGAGGTTTTTAGTTTAATAAAAAGTTAGGCAAGCAATTTGTGATGAACTCACAATATTTTATTGTCACTGCTACTCCTCCTTACTTTTGCAGCTTGATTCAAATGAATGTTTATTATTATCTTTAATAATAAAATTAGCAGCGTGACTACACTAAGCAAAAAATAATAATTAACTCAATTATGTGACCTCAGTCAAACGGAATCGCTCGTCAAAAAGTTGCATGGTATCATTGTTTAGCCAATTGTTAGCACGCAACGTATTGACCAATTGATCAGAAATCTCCGAAGGTAATGGACATTTGACTGGGGGAAACCAGTGATATGTATACATAGCTTTTGATAGTGACTTCAACGATAATCGAAGCAGTGTTGGTGGTGACGACTGCATACTTTCATCATAGAAAGCCATAGCCATTTCGAGTCATAAAAAAAAGTAATTTGAAACGGGGTAGCACTTTGATAAGCAGCCTGACACAACAATGCAATTACAGGAAATACAATCACACCCAACTTCATGGAATATAAGCTACATTAAATACACACTGTCAAAGACTGATTAAATTAATTCCAATCAAAGTATGGAAAAACAAGAGGATGGAATTTACAAATATAGTTCATAAGTAATGTATTAAACAAATGCACGAATAAAACTATCAAATAAATTGCTACTTTACACATGCTAAGATATCAAAGCGTGAAGTACGACAATATTCACTAACTGACATAGTAATTAAAACAAATAAGCACACACTAAAGATGACAACAGATTTGGCAGTTTTGCGCATTTATGCCCCAAACTAGTACTAATAAATCTACTCTTAACAGTGATATTCTCTCACAGTATGTCAAAAATAATACCAACTCGATTTAAAACTGTAAGCAAAATCCATTTCTACAATTACAGCCACAACTTGATAATACAACCGACCGCCAGCACTCCTCTAATCGTAACTACAAAATGATCAACAAACTGATTTATCGGCTTATTTTAATACGGCCGCAATCCTGAATTAAGATATGTAAATGCAATGTAATAGCACTTAATAAATTTTGCATTTTTTCACTTAAGTTCTGTTACACAATGACTGCTCGGTTTTATTGCATAAAATTTTGCTTTTGGTAGCATTTGTTGATATTTATTTTGCATATGTATATTTTATTTGTGCAGAAGAAAAAAAAATTATTTTAAATATAAAAGTTAACTTAAATTCTGTAATGTAAATAGCTTTAGAAGTTGAGATTATTTTGCCTAGAAATATGTAATTTTAAAATTTGTAGTGTACAAATTACATTTTGACTCATTTAACTGACTGAATTTTTTAGTGTATATGGTTTGTTGTGTATCAAAATTGTATTATAATAGTATTTAATATCTAGTATTACAGTGAGGTAACAAATGCTTTTTGTCAATTGTCTGATACTAATTCTAAACGTTTATTATACAGACTATTATTTGATAATCAAAAAATTATCAAAGTGTAATGATTATTTTCATGCATGCAATGGATTACTGTTTTGTAATTACCATTCTTAAACTATTTAATTTTGAAAAATGTTTCTCAGTCAGTCAAGAAGTTAGCAATTATTTAGTCTGCTATAATTAGCATTTATTTTATTAAATGCAAAATGCTCTCTTTTATGATTACTTATAATAAATGAATTCATTTTCTTGGACAAAAAATTTTTCTTTTGTAATAATTGATTTGGATAGTAAGTCAAAAGAGGCATCTACCACCAGCACTGCTTGTCTTTTTCCTCTCGACTGTCCTTTCTGTATAAAAGTGTAAAATTGTATGATATGATTGCAGGCAGAGTTGTAGTTCTAAAACCAGTTAGTTAGTTTACATTACAGAATTTTATTTTATTTAATTTTTTTTAAAGTAAAGGCAGATTGTATTTAATCAACCACTGTATTTAATTTATATCATTGTTTTCATCTCGTACTGAACGCTATCTTCAGTCGTCTAAATGTTGATTTTTCTTACCATTACATTCTCATATCAAATGTATACAAAAATTTTTGCCCTTTTAAAAGATAGTACATAATAAATGATTGAATAAAAGTTGTAATCTCAAGTAATATAAATGAAAAGTAAATATAATTAATGCATGAATCTATGTTTCATCTAGCCGTTGTATTGTACCACTCATATCATTTTACATAAATGGTACGTAAATTTTAGTTATCGTTTTTTGAATAAATTTTTTTATTGCTGTCTGAGTTTGTTTTGATTACAAAGTTTGTATTGAAGAGAATTATTCATATTTCTATTTTAGTTAATATTTGAATGTGTGTATTGTAGCTGACATTGTTGCATAGTATAAAACATTGATAATTGAAATACTTAGTTGTATTTTCTCAATTTATCGAAATACTTTTCTAAGTAATGTATTTATGGTTGTATTTTTTCTTTTTTCACTTTTTTAAGAATATGAAATACTTTGTTCAACTGTGAGACTTACACTTTTTCTACTAGTTTGAATGGAAAATTCAAACATACTGACATATAAATGTGAAATGTTTTGGATTTACTTTTACTCTTTCTGTTATTTGTTACTTTTCTTAATTTATTTGTATCACATTTTCACTAATTTTAGTCACTAACTTTTAAAATTGTTGCAATGAGTAAACATTGTCAGCGTTCGAATATTTTATTTCAAATTTTCTGTAATAAAAACATGATTTCATCGGATTTCATTTTGAAAAATATGAAATTTTATATTTTGTTTGTAAAAATAAAAAATATAATTTTTAAGTAGCAAAATTACATGACATAAACAATTGCATTTCAATATTGATTCTGAACATGGTTTATATTATAGTGTACTTTTTGCAAAAGACTAATTCCTCAGTACTGCTCATCCAAGTTTTTGCAATGATTGCTCAGTTTGAAAAATTTATTATACTTTCCACTTTGATTTAATTCTCTGCCTCCAACAAATTTTAGTTTTTTGGCACATTTATTTTTAGACAGTGTTTCATTTCATCCCAACTTACTACTACTACTTTAGCAACATAAATTCGTTGAACCGTGAACTGAAGTATAATTAATTTTAAAGGACTTTTTCATCTTACTTCAGAACTGTGGATATGGGTTTACTAACTCTCGGGACACCTTTGTCATGGAATGAGACTTTGCCATTTGTCGATTATATTAAAGTAAGGAACTGCGTCCTTAATAATAAACTTACGTGATGTTTTCATTGTCTGGGAGTGTATTGTTTGCCTTCGTTTTAAAATACTGAAAAAAATAAAGGAAAGAAAATTTTTTGAAAAGCAATTGAAGGAACTTGAATCATTAATTGATTTTCCTGACTGGTTTTCGCATTATAGCATTCTGATATAAGTACATGGTTCGGTTGTTTTTGTAAAAATCATGGTATTAAGTAATTGTGAAGTCGAACAAAGAATGTGTTTAAGGAGCATGGTATCGCACAGTTTATATCTCTTTATCATCGAGTCAAAAGCCGCGAAGGTGATCAACTGAAATGGGGTGACGAGGTCGAATATACAATTGTTCAATTTGACGACGATGCAAAGAAGGTAGATGGATTGATTTCAAAAATATCTAAGGCGAAGCAAATAAAGGGTACGGTTCATCTAAATTCATTCCTTTCTGAATAAAGGACTGATAAGCGACTTTAATTACTACAACCAGTGTCATCTTTTGCTGAACTGAAATATTGGGATTTATTTCTCTATTTGTTACGAATGATGAACATTGAGGTATAGTGAAATGTTAAATGAATTTTTTGAATTAGAAATCTTTTCAGTGGAATAATTTTGATAGCATAGGTCCGAGTGAGTCTACGGTCTGAAGAGATTCTTGGTCAATTACAAGCTGGAGAAGAATTAAATGCATTGCTGGGTACTGAAAATCGTTGCTTATGGCGTCCAGAATTTGCATCATACATGATTGAAGGAACACCGGGTGCACCTTATGGAGGTTAATCAATACGTTTTCTCCATACTTTGTGAAAACTAAGATGATCAATCGACTCGAGCTGACAATTGTGGTTATTTCTATAGGAATGACGTGTTTATATTTTCTGTATGAAGTAAATTTCAAAGAATAGTAAATAAAAGTGAAATTTATTTGCCTTTTTTTCACACTCATTTCAATGAATAATGAATTTAAGGTCTGTTGGCATGCTTCAATGTAGTAGAAAGTAATATGATATCTCGTCGAGCTGAAGTCACACGATTGCTGAAAACTAATGAATCAGTGATGTCAATATCGTTTCCAGCATTAGGTACACCAGATTTCACTTCACCAGCATATTTGCCGCGTCCAGATGATGAGGACTCTGTTGGTCGCTCAATATTTTTTCCTGATGAAGGAATTTATGCGGGACATCCAAGGTAGTTGATATTTTTAATATTTGGGATGTTGTTTCGTTTTTCTTAAGAAAAATAAATTTATTCAGGTTTCGAAATTTGGTCAGAAACATCAGGGAACGTCGAGGTGAAAAAGTTGCCATAAATGTACCCATATATCGAGATATCAATACACCACAACCTTATCGAGTAGTTTTTTATTTTATTGAATGATTACTGATGCAGCTTGTGTTACGTTTTTTTTTGATAAATTTTTTTCTAAAGTTATTTTCGTATTTTATTGTCGTAACTTATATCTGTAGTACGTTATGTGATAGTTATTAAATCGCATTTCGTACAAACAAGATAAATATATTGTGACTATGACAAGTTTCCATGAGTGTGTATTCTATTAGAAATGCTTTTGAACTTAATTTATGTTGTTATAAATAGTCTTACACACAATAAATTCAATTTATAATGAAATAATTTTTGTTTTTCTTATTTGCATGGAAATATATTTTTCTTGTCTATATAGGAGGATTTCACGAATGAGAAAGATGGTGGTCAAGCTGCTCGGGCTTCATTACCCGACCATATTTATATGGACCATATGGGTTTCGGAATGGGTTGTTGTTGTTTACAAGTCACTTTTCAGGTTATCTATGAACTTATGAATTCTTATCATATTCATATATGTGTCAGCATCTTTGAATAGCTTTTAAAGCTTATTTTACTAGAAAATTATCGAACCAAATTTTGGGAATTTAGCATATTTTTGTACATATGTGTGCTTCGAATCAAATTAGTTCAAATTGTAGTAAAATCGTGAACTACGAATTACTAACGATGTTTCTTGTATCGTAATGAAATAAATAAAGGAAATACTTAATGAATAGTTCTTACACCAATTCAGGCAGTTAATCTTGACGAGGCACGATGGTTATATGACCAGTTAACTCCATTAACTCCAGTCTTGCTGGCGTTATCTGCTGCAACACCTATATTTCGATCGCGTTTAGCCGATGTCGATTCTCGATGGGATATTATATCAGCGGTAGATAACTTAAATTTTAAAAATTTTTGGTTTCTTGTACAAATTGTAGCCAATACTTTCAATAATATTAATTCATCAAGAGCACTGTAGAAAGCAATATAATCTTTTTCTACTCTATATTACAGAGTGTAGACGATCGAACAGCTGAAGAAAGAGGTTTAGTACCTCTCAAAAACAATAAATTTGTTTTGGAAAAAAGTCGATATGATAGCACTGATTGTTACATTTATCCTAGTTCTGCACGGTTGGTATTTTCTCATTTCTAGTGAATTGTAAGAGCAACTATTGATTTCTTATTGTCGATGATACAAACAGTCAGTGAAATTACTCTCACATATATTCATGTCTTTTGTTATGTGGTAGGATTGATGAGTCTTGATTTATGAAAGCAAATGAAATATATTCATACACTTATCCATTTTCTCAGATACAACGACATACCTCTTCAGTTTGAAGAAAAAATTTATAAGAAGCTAATAGATGGTGGAATCGATGAATTTTTAGCGCAGCATATAGCACATATGTTTATTCGTGATCCTTTGCAGGTTTGATAAGTTCATTTATTTTCTTTTTAATGATAAAGTTTACAGTAAAATTGGGCATAGTATTGTAGAGGCTTAATTCAAACTCAAAAAGGTTAAAGCCAGACATCAAAGCTTCAAGATTTGTACTGCTTATTTATATCCTATGACTAAGAAATTTAGTATGGTAAGCAATTTGAACCTCATGAATCTTTATGTACTACTTTATTGCTTTTTTATATCAACATTAAATAACGTATGTTTGGTTATTCAAGGATTAGATTAATCTTTTTAATATTTGCTCTCAGTTTTAATGTCCAGTATATTTGGTTTGAATTCATGTTTTTTAAAAGATGAACTTCAAACTGTTCGATGTTATCATTCTTGTCTCCTAGGTTTTTCGTGAGCGCATCGAACAGGATGATGATAAAACAACGGAACACTTCGAGACGGTACAGAGTTCAAATTGGATGAATATGCGTTTTAAGCCGCCACCGCCAGATTCACCAGAAATTGGTTGGCGCGTCGAATTTCGACCAACTGAAGTCCAATTAACAGATTTTGAAAATGCTGCTTATTGTTGTTTTGTTGTGCTTCTGACTAGGTATGTTCAAACGATCATATTTTTCTATAATGTTATTTTAATGTGACTTCTTTTGCTATTTAGCAATTATTGCTTTATAGAAATACGAACTATTTTGTTCTAAGACGTGGAGATTACTTCATATTTGAGAAGCACTTTTCAAACAAGTCTTCAAGCATTGTAAATTCTCTGCCGCTTTTTCAAAAATTGTGCCTTATGCTTCTGATTAATTTTTAGGACGACAATTTGCACCGAATTGCACATTTAATTTCAGAGTTATAATATCATTTCGTCTGACTCTCATCTTGCCTATTTCTGCTGTTTCTCAAAATATGAAACGCGCGCAGTGCAGAAATGCTGTATTGAAACAAAAGCTGTTTTTCCGGAAAGGTATTGCGGTGTGCAACTCTTCACCTTTCACTACTACTTCCTCTTGTAAAGCGTCATCCAGCGATGTAGTCGAAATGACAGTGAATGAAATCATTAATGGTGTGCTGTTATTGTTTTTCACCAAAGATTAAAGTTTTGAAAATTATATTAGGGAAGTGTTTAGAATAATGAAAAGTGGAAGAAGCTAAGTTTTGGGCTACTTCTATTGCTCTGTACACTGTTCGGTAAAAAGGTATTCTTGTTCAGCTTGTTATATCTTTGCGGACCATCACAGTATTAGGCTTATTGGTGTCGCGAATGCAAAATGACAATGGATTTAATGCTGTGAAATAGATATCACTTAGTTTAATTTTATGGGCAAGAAACTTAACTGTGATAATAGTTCTTGGAAATTCTTGAAAGGTTGTTTTATAATTGTTCCTTCTGGGCCACGAAGTTTTGAAGAGAAAATGTGTGTCCTTAGATTTTTATTAAACTATTTTAGTAATCGATTAATGAATATTTTTGTTATATTGACCTGATTTCAGAGAATACCAAATTTGATAATGATCACATTGTTCCGCTTGTTCCTCAAAAAGAAACCTAATAGTATTATAACCAATATTGTCCCATATGTTTTATTTGCTGTGAATATTTCTTCACTTTTGTAGCATGAAAATTGAAGCCTATGTTAATTTAGGTAAGGGTGATGAATTTCCTGGATTAGTACCGTTATTACGCCAGTATCTAGATAGCGCTGATGTCGATGTTGATACACGATGCACCATATCTCAGTATTTGGGTTTCATACAGGTTAAGTGGTCCCGTTATCTAAATCAGAGTTACGCATTATTTTATTCTTTTACACTAAATTTTCTTGAATTTTTCAGAAACGAGCTTCAGGTGAACTGCAGACATTGGCGTCTTGGATGAGAGAATTCGTTGATAGGCATGCAGATTACAAGCATGATTCATTTGTTGGATGTCGTGTGATTTACGATATGTTAAAAACAGTTAGCTTTTTCTGTTCTTTCTGCATTTTTGTTTTAGTTTCTCAATTGTGAAAGCTGTTCGCTGTTTACAACTTTCATTAAAACTCTCAATTTCCTTCAAAGCAGTTAACATGTTAAGTGATGCGACAAATATAATCACGTAACATAATTCACTGGAATTATGTAACTATTTTTACTTTATATTCTGCTACTTTAAAGCGCGTTACTTATTATAGATGGATAACATATCAAAAGGAAAAACTCATTGCCCCAAATTACTTGGTGATTATCGTTCAAAAACTAATCCGCATATTCCAATGGCGGTTCGTCGTGCTGAAGAAAGCTTGATTGTGAATCTCAAACAGCAAGGTAATTGATCCAATAAGTAGTTGTGGTAGGTACAAAATCGACGAAGAATTGTGAAATGCGAACTTAGAAAGTTGTTGATAGTTATTTGTAGTTTCCAGTTGAAGTCATTCTTGAATTTAGAATATTACACAATACAGACTATTTTTTCATGTGTTTCATTTACATATTTTTGTATCACACTTCAGCATTAATTTATTGTAATACTTCGGAAAGATACTTGCTTCTGGTTAACTGTTTTTTATGGGTTTTTCTGCTGTTTTTTTATTACTCATTCTTACTTCACATATCAACTGTTATTTGTACTTCATCTTGTAAATCAAAAACTGAAGGTCTTATGGTAGCAATTTCACTTACTTACAGTTTATCATAATTCGGTAATCAGGTTCCCAAGGTGAAAAATGGAATGATAATCAATAAGCTGCATCAACTGTTTCTTGAATATTGACATATGATGTTTTACTTTTGATTTTTAATTACAAAAAATATCATTATCACTCATGATATTATTGTCATGCATTATGAAGATTGATATTCCCTCAGCTAGTGCAAATTTACCTGTCCACTTCGTAGTTTCTTCGTTGAAATAGATTACATACTTTCTTCAGAATATTTTAGAATTGATTGGTATCACAATTTTAATAGAATCTGCGCTTTATTTTTCTGTCATTTGGGGCGAACAGTTGTATTTTAAACAAATTTTTTATTTATTTATCATTAAAGGGATTGTTGATCTCATCATGCAGTAATCTAATCTAGTCAATAAAATATAAGTCTGTGGAGTTAAAGTTGGGCCTGTGGTTTTTTATAAGTAGAAAAGTGTACTAATATGCTAGTCCAAGCGCTATGAGTTATGTCATATTTTCGCAATTATCAAATTTTAGTTGCTGCGAAGTAAAACATGGTTTTGAAAGATGTTGTCATAAACTGTATATATTACAGAAACTGTAGGTATGAAATTGGGATTTGGATGGGATGCGGTTGTTTGTAAATATACAAAATTTATCCTGCGGTGGCGAAGTACTCAGTACCTAAGCAAGTCATCTGCAGTAAATATACTTCAAAATTGATGCATGTTTTTCTCTCAATGAATTGCTATTTTGTTAATGATTTCAAGAAAAAACTCAATTATTAAACATTTGAACTGTCAAAAAGTCCAAATTTATTAAATGTTGTCTGTGTATAGCGGATAGCTGCATTCATTATTAGAGTTATCAACTCTCATTTAATATCACGGTTACTTTCATGAGCATAACACATCTGCTATAGAGTTCAAAGTGTTTGGTCTGATGTTGCTTAGTAATTTTCAAAAGTAGCATTACTGTTGAAATATAATAATTCGTGGTAGCCATCTGACTGATTATTCCTGGTTCTTTTATGTTATAGCATTTGATAAATTTTTTATCTGCACAGAATTAAGAGTCTTATAGGAATGGAATTTAATGTAAAGCCAAACGCATTGAGAGTTAATGATTTTATTAAACCATTAATAAAATAAGTAATTTTAAGATCAAATCAAAAAATTGAACGCTCGGATAATTTCTATTTGTTCAAGTTACCTATATGAAAATATATATATATATATATATCAAATCTGTGAATAATTTCCAGTATGAAAGGACATGTTATTGTTTGCATATTTTCAGATATATAAAAAATTTGCATTTTTTCCACTGATGGTATGTGCTAAAGTATTTGGCGCGGAGAACTTACCGTTATTTTATCGTTCGATGAATTTTACATGCATTATTCAATGTTAAAGCTTGGCATCAGATACAAGCTTGTAAGAGATACATCAAATATAAGCTTATAGCACTTTTATAGGCCTTTTCTTGAAATGATATAAGTACTTTCAATGCCTTTTTAATTTTATAACTTCTTATAAAATGCTTGCATTCTTGAATGCCTTGTTTGCATCAAGTAATCATGAAGTAGATTTGCATGTATTTATCTTTTTGATCTTCACCTTACTTGCTACTTGTGCTCATTTTGTTATTTTAATATCATAGAAAAATTTCTATCTCAATTTATATTTTATCGTGTTAAAAGTCATCATCATCTTGCAATTAAAAAAATGCTCAAGATAATTAAATTAGAAAGCATCGTAATCATCTTCTTAATAATTGATATTCTTTGTAATGAATTAAAATAATATATTTGACTACTGAATACTACTCAAGTTTGATCAAATTTGAGCACTGCTTGACTTAATGGCACCATAGCAACGAGGTGAATTTGCCTATGTACTGCTATTTTTGCTATTTTACTATTTTTATGAGAATATTTGATTTGTTTTGCTTTATTTCCTCATATTTGTTCAGAAAATAAAAGAAATTCTTTCAAATAAAAAAGCAATTCTGAACAAGCTGTTTATTTTGACAGAATTGTTATACGTTATTAAATTCTATTACAGTGTCAGAATTTATTTTTACAATTAACGGTCTTTATGGTTCTATCACAATTATAACATTTCTATTTTTTTATTTTCAATTATCAGCAATCAGTGCTTGACTTTTAATTTTGTATCACAGTGAAGAATTTGAATACAATTTTGGTAGAAAATTTAATAGATTCAGTTAATTTTCGTCGCAGAATACTCATAATGCTTAAAAATTCTCTTTTTTCATTCTCATTGAAAAGCGAATGTCAATATGATGTAAATCGTTTACATGCTAAACAAACATTTACACACTGGAAGCATATCATACTGAAGAATTTTTTTCCAACTGTAAAGTGTAAATGTGATATTTTATTTGTTTCTCTACAAATTCGTGATATCAGTTGCCAGTGATAACAAGAGCTGGATAAAGCGCAGACATTAACTTTAGGACTATCAGTAACTTTGCTAAATTGAAATAAAATCTTAGATATGATAATGAAAAGTAGAAATATGTATTATTCTGAAATTAAATCTTTTTAATCTCTCTAATTTTCAATCATTTACTTAATCTTTAAATTGTATTTACTTATAAAAGCATGTTAATATTTCCTTTCCCTTTGAATAGCCTGCAGTGATTTTCTGACTATTTTTAACTGAAAATATTCTTTCTTTTCATACTGACAAGGAAGTATAACGCACAAATATATTCACATCCCACGCAACTTCTTACAGAAATGTAAAAATTATCTGATAGTTTCATCAATATCAATGTGTAATTCGTAGAATAGAAAGATTCAGATTAGAACAGTTAATTTTTGTGCGTGAGAAATAATTTATCAAAGATTGTTGCAACTATATTTGTTCTGCAAGTCGAAATGTTTTCGTCCTCGTAAAAATGGATTCTGTATGTGGCGTATGAGAATACGGTACGATTACGCTATTTTAATTGCTATGAATTCATATGAATAACAAATTTTTAACATAACAAAGTATAATGAATACAAGTCATTACAAATTGCTTACATGATATATTAATTTGCTTATAGACAGAAGTGAAATTGTGCATGATTAAATTCACTCATTGTTAGAGTCATTTTTGAAAACATTTCTGAAATGGCTTAAAATACAAGAATGAGAAGGATTTAATGCTTTTACAATCAAACAGTGTCCTGCAAATAAAAATTTACAATTCCACACGACACAAAACTTTTGAAAATTAGTCTAATTAAGGCTACAGTAAACAAACTTGATGATGAAGTTCAAATTTTATTAATATATTATTTAGCCCTGTGATAATTCAAAAAAATATGCATGCTTCTGATCACATGGATATGATTCAATAATTGTGTGCTGTAATTAAATTTTTGCTTTGACTCGTGGTAATTAACAAAATGAAAAATAGCGTTAATTAAAATAAAATAAATATTTAAGTATATTAGTATTGGAATAGAATACTCCATATTTTTCACTGAAATCAGTTTTTCTACCCTAAAAATTAGCTTTTTTGTCCGAAGAGGAAATAATAGCTTTTAGCAATCTTAGTAATAATAGAAATCAAAAATTATTAGAACATAAGTGTAAATTACATTTAAAAGGGTTTGTCAATAAAAATTATAGTTATTATAATAGTCCACTGTCACTGTTACAGCTCCTTTAAGCATCAGTAATAACATTTTACAGTAAATTTTTAATTTCCATGCTTTTCTCTGACTAAGAAGCTAAATTTTTAGATTTTTGATTTTTTCATTCTCCATATAATTTACTAATCAAAAATAAATTCTAAAAAAATGTGTGTAATGTTGTGCTTAAGTTTAACTGAAATAATATATCATCAAACAAATCATCAATAATTCATGATAAATTTTGTTCTGAAAAGATTTAACTTTTCTTATTTCTTCATCGATCATTGTTTTGTTATCAAAGGTTACATTTTTTTCAAAATATAAAATACCGTGTAATACCCAAATATTCAATCAGCTCATTCTTATAAGTCTATTAAGTTACAGTCTATTGCATTCACTGCTAAGAAATTATGTATGGCTTAGGTTTAATTATTTTTATAGATTTTCTTATTATTTGATTACATTGCTTATATTACAATATATATACGAAGATTTTTCATGTACAAAAATTTTGTTGAAAGAAAATGAAATACTAATATACGTTAAAGTATAAATGATAGCAGTGAATAAAATCTGCATTCATAAACTAACAATCTCTCAAGCATTATTGTATGCTACAACAAACTTTTTGCGTTAATTTCAGCGTAGTAATTTATTTTTTAAAGTAATGTTTGCTCAGAATTGATATAATTTTTGATAAATTTTTTGAAAAATAACAAAGAGAGATTGTAAGTAATGTTGATAGAAATTGCAGCAACAATGTTTGTTTGCCCTATTCAATCGTATTTGCACAGTAGCATAGAAAAACTCATATTATCTTTACTTTACCTAAGAATTAATGCGCAAACTACTTAAAATACACGAACCTATCTTGCTTATATCTCTTTTTTTGCTCAATAGAAATTTGCATAATTACAAATTTTGACTTACATTAGTGATAAATGTTTTGAAAGATATGAATAAAACGAAAACTTAAATGCTCCAACATGTGAATATTTGTTAAAAAATTTTCACTTATGCAGTACAGTTATTATTCTTTATGCTCTAAATTTCTTTCATAACTTTGTGTTCTAATAGTGTGTTTGAAAAATTTACTTGATGCTTACAAAATGATGCGTGAATTATTCAAATTCTTCTTTTTTTCATTTTTTTTTATTGCTTTTTTGATTATTTATTGTTGCATAAATTAAATATGTAGCTATGAAAAATTTTCTGCTTCATGCTCCTTACAATAATCAAAAAGAATCTTGATTAAATAACGAAAATATGCGTGTACTTCACATTTATTTCAAATTACTTGTTATTTTTAAGATATTTATCCAATTTTTTCATCATATCATGCTACTGTCAAAAGCCACTGATATCGTTTTTCTCATTGAGCTAACACTAACCCAAACTTGTATTCAGAAAAGTAATATAAGTCAAAAAAGGAAAACAATTCTTGCATTATTGGCAAAATTTTTTACAATAATTAATTAATTACTGATTGATTTTGAATCAATCAATCAAATAAATTTGATTTTTTGTAAATTATTGCAGATATGTAATAATAAATTACGTGGTTTACAGAAGTTTGTATTAACGTAAATCTGTAAAAACTTATATAATTAACTTTCGTTTGTAGTTAAAACTTCAAAAAATACTGCTTTTTCAAATGTTGTCAACATAATTAGTCTGGTTTGAGTTATTTATAGTTCTGAACTTGTGGTACTGAGAATTTTTTTGCTTTTTTATCTTTATATATATTTTTTATTTGGCTGTAATGCTTTTCAAACAAATAGCAAACCATGAAAATGTGTGAAATTTTTAATTAATTAGTGACTGTATTATTATTAAACAAAGTAAGTTTTCGAAGTTTTGGCTAAGATTTTATTTGTCTTTATGTTCAGACAAGCATATGAAAATAAGAACATGCAAATATGATATTATGTTCTGAAATCATTTAAA